ACGGATGGAGGGGAGAGAATTGCGGACTCCGATGTCCCAGCGGCTGTTATACGTGTGATGAAGATGGCGTCTGTGTGTCTAACAGTTTCACTAAGCGAGTGCCGGATCCAGCAGATGACTCCCATACAGATAGCCATACCGACATATCATCAGGTTCAGGCGGCTCACTCACCTACACATATACTTTGTGTTCCTTCTTCTTGCTATGCTCTCAAATCGGGTGTTATTAATAGATGCATAGTAACTTGGCTTTGAATGATGCCAATTTCCTTTTGCTAGGTGTTTAACTTCAGCACACCCGATGTTATGATTAGGAGATTATTCTATAAGCATGCAAAAGTTGAGCAAGTTGTTTAATCCTTCCTGAAGCAAACCTTTTGTGATGTTTTAACGAATGATTTGCAGATCTAACTTGGCAGTTTTAGCAGTTTGTAGATTTAAAAAAAATACCAAAAACATCAACGGTGGTACATGAAAAATGTGAAATATAAATACACATTCAATTAGGTATAATGTTAAAATGTAGAAAATAATTATAAATTATAAAAAATAAATTAAGATGACAAGGGTATTGGGCAAACAAGTTTCGATGAAATATGACAGAATTAAGGTAACAGGAACCTCCTATACAGGAATATTGCCGATGTGACGTTAGGGTACTTAACTCGCTCACCCACTCATACAGACTTTTGAACGAATTCGACATTTCTCAATGGATGGTATTGATGATTTTTATCTCTCACTCTCGTACTGAATAAACATGTTTCCACCTAATATCGAGATTGGCGTTTTAGGTAGATAAAAGTATTTTCAAAAGTTACATTTTCTTTAACCATCTTATAGAACACACACTACATGCTGTCTGTAATGGAACTGTACCAGTTCTGCAGGAACTGGTCTTTTAATATTCCTATAAAAAACTTTGAACGCTAACCATGATGAAGAACACACATATTTCACCGTCTCCCACAGTTGTTTGACATTGCCTCTACAAAAGTTGTACATGGTAGCATTTCAGAGGCATTTGTTTAGTTTCATTATGATTTTACCATTTGATGCCAGAATAGAATAACACGTTTGTACATGTTTTATATAGCGGGGTTCCAATCTGAGTTTTCCATAAATAATATAGTTTGGTTTTGAATGCCAGTTTGGGAAATTTTGTAGTGAGCATTTCCAAATGCCAAGATTTCAGAACAATGCACTCTGGTACATGCTCTTTACTAAGTTACGAAATTTTATATATGTACCTTAATTTAGCAGTTGATATCATATCATTATATATCGGTCAGATTATACCCTTCAGCCAATAGCCTGGTACAAATCGAGAAGTAAGTATCAAGTTATGGAAATCAGTATATACCTTAATTTAACTAGCAGTTGATATCATATCATTATATATCGGTCAGATTATACCCTTCAGCCAATAGCCTGGTACAAATCCAGAAGTAAGTATCATGTTATGGAAATCAGTTAAGAGTGGTATTAACTGTGTGGAATAATAAAATAATCGTTTCAAGGTGATCTAGTCCAGTGGCTTTTTTGTGAGGTTCCAAATTGGTTGCAGAAAGGATAACTTCTCCCGATAACTAAATTAGTTAAAAGATCAATGTTCTATTATTGAACTTAAAGAACGTTTCAACAGCAGAAGTATTCCCGGATGAAGTTATACTACATGTATATCGCAGCTTCCAGCTTCCAGTTCTCTTTTGGTGGGTGTTTCTTGAGGTCACGACGTTTCCTACAGGTGAAAATGCATTCTATTTAATGGGTTGTTTCTTCGACATTAAGTTATTCTTTGCAGTTTCTACCAACGGCATGTTTGCAGTCAGTTAAAGTTTCCTTATCTATGATATTTAAAATATTAAACTGTGTATATCTTCTACTGCGATATTGTTTCATATCAGATACAGCATTCTTTATCTATGAAAGTCAAAGAGGTACACATATTCTATTGTAATTCTTTTACATATTACAGCTTCCTATCTATGATAGTCAAAGCGTTATTGTGTACATATTCTACTGTGAAATTGTTTACGTAATCAGAGCAGCTTCTTTTATGATATTTAAAGAGCAACTGTGCACATATTCTACTGTGAAAGTTTTTCTATGCGCAATCAGATAAGCTTCTTTATCTGTGATATTTAAAGAGCAACTGTGTAGATATTCTACTGTGATATTATTTACACAAACTGATCAGCTTTTTCTGTGATATTAAGAGAGGCATTATTTGCAGATTCTAATGTGGACTGTTTCGCACAGTCAGTAAAAGTTTCCTTATATATGATATTCAAAGAGTTTTTGTTCACATATTTTACTGTTAAGTTCTTTACACAATCAAATGCAGTTTCCTTTGCAAGTTCCAGAATAAACGTCTTTACACGAACAGGTACAGTTTTCTTTTCTTTGATAGTTATCATTTACAGATTATAATGTATATTTGTCAACGAAATCAGATGCAGTTTCATTACAAATTATATCAAAGAGGGACAGATATTTGGACACACGGATATACTTTCGTTATTAAAACTATTCAGAGAGTTATTTGCATATTCTACTTTGAAGTTGTTCAGCATCAGCTTCACTCTCTTTGTCTGTGATATCTGGACAGATATCATGTACAGTTACAACACTGCCGGGTGCAGTAGGATGACTGTTTTTCAGATGCCTAATACTTAACTCATGTACAGGAGACCATGCATTGGCATAGGTAGCTACAGTATCAGTACAAAATATAGACACTGTTTACCTACCTGGACCTGGTTTAGAGATAGACTGTTGTACCCTGCAAGATGGGGTGGAGCCGTTTCCAAAAAGTTATCTACAGAGAGATTGCCAACCATCACGAAAGCTCTTTTATTGTTCTTCCTTGCATCAGCCAGCAACGGTAAAGTACATCTATCCTATAGGTAGTAATTGTTTCAGGAAATTGCTCAGCAATTGAAAAATCAGTTTCCTTTAATCATCTGGCAGCCCCTTAACTTCCTCCCAGTTGTACGTGTGAATTTAGCTATGAGGGGTCATGGTTTCAGTGCGTTACCTGACTGTTGTGGACAACGGGGGCGCCCAATCCTGTGGATCCTCTTGAATGGCATATACTGGCTGCTTATGTTTAATTTAGATTGGATGAAGTCTCATCTCAGAAGTACCTCTTCGGAATATATGTAGTTTCTCTCTTCTAACCTTCGTTATTGACTGCTACAAACTTCGCGCTTTCTTCAACACATGAAACACGTCGTCGACTTCACCAACTTTTAACTCGAGTGTTGCCATCTTTGTTTTAGGCTCAGAAATGATGAGATCGAGTACAGACATTTTATCGATACGTTCCAGTGTTTCCGTGATAGCTTTACCTACAGTCCGGAGTAATAGCATGGAATGAGCCGAGGTCAGCAGAATAAGATATAAATAATTGGGTTGTACAGAAAGGCGGCTGTCCTGGGGGATGGAGTTAACTGAGTAGATTGTCGTAGTTTGGAAAATGGAAGTTCGCTGAAAAATGAGCAACATGCTCCAGTCATCTTGATACGTCATCAGCGCATACAGTTCTAGGAAACACATTGCTCTTTATAAATTAAACGGTTTGCATATGATTGGGACGGTTCAAAACGATTGAGAAAACTGATTGCTCTATATAAATGAACTGTTTCCACATATCATATTTTCTTATAATATGCTAACAAATACCTTCATTCCACAGTAAATGCCAGTATGACATAATAATATGAATCAGTGCATAAATAGTATAAATGTTGTTTTATTCTATTACATAGATATGTGTGCACATGAATGAATCATCTTCTCTACAATACAATCGGTTGTATTAAATGTACAATGTTTCATTAATGACTTGGTTCTGTCTAAGTCAATTTGAGCTAGCTGAGGACACACCATGACGCGACCCTTGTTATAGCATCTAGGTCTCCCTGGACATTTAGGGTAGACTGTATTGTTAATGTGAACACCATTGTTTGACATGATGGATTATGCAATGTATTATACCTCCAATCCTGACATATAATTTGAGGGAGAATACATTCAGCAAACGTTGTAAACAATTTACGCATACAACAGCTTGCTATATATGCTGTAGTGGTACAATACTGATTTTAATCTTCACTACTCTTTTTTTATGCCCAGTTGAATCTTGCTTGGCAAATAACCGAAAATAATTCCCTGGCATCGACCTTTTATATTACATAGTTTAGTTTATTTATCAAATAGGCATTTTTCAGTAAACCATATGAGTCTAAAGTCAGTCACGACGTTCATTATCATACATAATGTGGTCACGTGTAGACTGAAACTGATAATTCTACGCGCTGAAATGAGATCATGTGACATCATGCGTGTTCTGGTATAACCAACGCTGGTACAGATGCTTATCGTATTGTCCTATGACCTTGTCTGACAACCCACCAGATATATGTTAAACCATGAAAAGACGTGCCGTGTGATAAGTGATTTTGTTTGGTTGTTAGACACAAAATGGACAATGTACCACAATGTGTAGGTTTTTCCTTACTTATCTTAAAGCTTGATTTGGACATGTAGGTGATAACAAAATCGTGGCATGTTTTAAGTTGTATTAAATATTATATAACATGTAACGATTTATCTTTGAAACGAAATCTGTTTTAGTCACACAATGAATCCTTGGATACATTCAATATAAAAGTGATCTGTGAAAAACTCTTGTCATTCTTGGGGTTTTTTTATCTTAATTTTCTGTTTCTGATTTCTTTTTCGGACTTTGAAAGAGCACAGGACGAATGTTTGAACCAGTGATCATGGGATTCCTTCACTCATGAATATCCAACAAAAAAACCTAAACTGACCAATCTAGCGGTGTATCTATGTCCATGCACAATGCTACACATAAATGCCTGCACTGCATGCCTCAGTGCCTATTGTGTCATTGTGCGTTTTGAATGTCCCACTGTCATGTGTGTTGAAAACGTGGTAAAACCCCAAACCCTTCTTATTATGTTATTCCCCAGCTTGGCGCACATCATTCATGACTCAAGACAAGCAGTATACAGCAGTCAGTGATGCCAGTGGAAAGACTCGTCATCCTCTTACTTCTTTGCTTCAGTCGTTGTGTTGGTAAGTATTCAAAATCCGCAGTATCCAGTACCTTTGTACTGCAACGTTTTACGATACTCTTTTTAGTCTAACTTTTAGTTCATAGATAAATAGAGGATACTAAACGACCCTCCGTGTAATACCATTTATATTAAACGAGTTAAAGATTTGGTATCAACCGAGCGAAAGCGAGTTTAATACTAAATCTTTCACGAGTTAAATAAAAATAGTATTTCACGGAAGCGAGTTTAGTATTCTGTTTATTACTCACCGACATAAACTGATGGAAACTGAGCCGAAACTGCCTACAGTGTGATGACACTCAGCTTTCCGCGAGTCAAGCAAGGTCTAATATCATTGCGGCAGAGGTATTAGCATTATGACGTCATACGTCTAGAGGTATTTCACTAAGGTAATATTGCCGTAAAATATTACACTGCAGTATCCTCCACGGGCGAGTAATAAGTGATATTATATACTTGAACCGGCGAGTAGAATCGTGTATAGCATACGCTCGTACACTCGCTATGCAATTCTCGTCACGTTTCAATGAATACTTCCCTGTCTTGTAAAGTGTGATAACATCCCTTCTGTATTATAACTACAAGTAAGCCATCTTGTGTGACAACTATACAATCTTGTAATGCCTGATAACATCCCTTCTGTAGGATAACTACAAGTAAACAATCTTGTGTGACAACTATACAATCTTGGAATGCCTGATAACATCACTTCTGCATGATAACTAAAGGTAAACCATCTTGTGTGACAACTATACAATCTTGTAATGCCTGATAACATCCCTTCTGATGATAACTACAAGTAAACCATCTTGTGTGACAACCATACAATCTTGGAATGCCTGATAACATCCCTACTGTATGATAACTAAAGGTAAACCATCTTGTTTGACAGCTATACAATCTTGGAATGCCTGATAACATCACTTCTGTATGATAACTAAAGGTAAACCATGTTGTGTGACAGTTAAACATTCTTGGAATGCCTGATAACATCCCTTCTGTATAATAACTATAAGTAAACCATCTTGTGTGAAAACTAGACAATCTTGTAATGCATAATAACAGCCGTACTGTATGGATAACTAAAGGTAAACCATCTTGTGTGACAACTATATAATCTTGTAATGCCTGATAACATCCGTACTGTGTGGATAACTACAAGTAAACCATCTTGTGTGACAACTAGACAATCTTGTAATGCCTGATAACATCCGTACTGTATGGATAACTAAAGGTCAACCATCTTGTGTGACAACTATATAATCTTGTAATGCATGATAACATCCTTTCTGTATGATCACTACAGAAACTCATATCACGTCATGAATGGAATACTAGTAGTCATTTCGAAATCCATCAATAATCACACAGCTTTGTTCCCACATAATACCACCTTAATAATGGTATACAATGAAAATGTGTCAGTAGGACGTGTTTGAACGTTAGAGCATTGCCGACACCTTGACGGAAGATCATTATCAATATCATTCATTTCATGATTGCATCACGTCATGATTGCGGTAACTATGAGTAAACAAATAATGTTGGGCATTGAACAATATAGGATATTTGTTTCCATCTTTTTTCAAAAGCGAGGAACATTATCATATATACGGACGAAATCCATCGGTTTCTCAGAACAGGAAGCAACTCATAATAACTAGTTCGGCCATATCTTTACCACAATGACGGTACACAACAGTCTAAGTTCATTTTTAAGTATTTAAGTAGCTTACATCAAAGGTCGATAAGCATCAGTAATTACAAAATATAAGCTTCGCGTTTCAGAACTATCTAAAAACATCTGTCAAATTATAAATGTATAAACTGAACACATTTTTATATTGCAGTATTGGCAAGTTCCTTCTCATGCTTCACTGATGGATGTCGACATGGAAACGGTGGACTAAGATGTCAGTCATGCCACATCGGTTGCTATGGAACAAACTGCACCTTCCCATGTAATGACAACTGTCACACAGATGGGTGTAACAGAATCACTGGGGAATGTTTTACATGCAAGCCAGGATATTATGGTCGAGACTGCAATGTGTTCTGTCCGAGAAGATGTTCGAGCAACACAGCAGTCACGTATATCTATGACCGCCATACTGGTGTTTGTTCTGAAACCTGTGATGGAGGATTGACTGCTGTACACTGCAAGGATCAAGTCTGTAACAAAGAAACCGGTCGATGTATCCTTGGCTGTCAGGAAACTTGGACGGGAGAATACTGCAACAGAACATGTGATACCTGCCTCAACACAAGATGCAGCTGGACCGGATATTGTCTTGATGGCTGCAAACCGGGTTTCTATGGAAACATGTGTAACAAAACTTGCCCTCGATGTTGGACCACTGGCTGTGACAGAGGATCAGGTATTTGTGAACAATGTAGTCCAGGTTACCGAGGAAGACACTGTAACCACAACTGTTCTGAAACGTGCTACAGAGGCAAGGATGGACACAGGCACTGTGATCGTTATACCGGTAACTGTCTGGAGGGCTGTGAAGTAGGATGGCACGGGCAGCGTTGCCAAACTCGGTGCTGCTCCTCCTGCAACTCGTCTCGTTGTTACAGCCACGATGGTGCCTGTGTAGATGGCTGTAGGCCTAGTTGGCATGGCAAACACTGTCTGACACCGTGCAATATAACGTGCACGGAATCACTGTGTGCCAGTCGAGATGGTTCTTGCACCCACGGCTGTGTAAGGGGTTACCATGGAAAGCATTGCCATAGGAAATGTATCAACTGCACAGATGATGAATGTGACCGATATGGGAGATGCAGATATTGTCTAGACGGATGGAGAGGAGAGAATTGCGAACTCCGATGTCCCAGCGTCTGCCACACATGTGATGATGGCGGTGTCTGTGTGTCTAACACTTTTTGACCAAGAGAGTGTCGGATCCAGCCCACGACTCACGTCCTGATGGTCACACCGAAACGTCATCAGGATCAGGCGGCTCACTCACCTGCACATACACTTTGTGTTCCCTTCTTCTAGCCATGCAAAGTGTGTTTGTCTGACGGCTTAAACAAGACAATGTTGGATGCAACAGATGGTTTCCATGCCGATCGTCGTATCAAATCATCAGCCTCAAGAGACTCCCACAACTACACATAAATTTTATGTCTCTTTCTTTTAGCGATGTAAGTATATTGGATAATGATTGCGTGTGTTCGCTTAAACAGTTTAATGCAGTGTTGCATTAAGCAGTTGTCACCCATGCTGATCGTCATATCACATCATCAGGCTCAATCCCCTCACACATCTTCAATTGTATTTTCTGTTCCGCTCGTTCTATTTCCCACATGGGTACAGTGTGTGAAGCCCATTTCCGATGTCCCCCGCCGTGATAGTGCTGGTATATTGCTAAAAGCGGCGTTGAGCCAGTCTCACTCGCTTACTCTAATCTATGCGTTCAAATCGTGTCCTGTCAATAGATGCATGTCGACGGGGACAAGGAATAAGGGACGCAACTCTTCGCATCCACTGAGAACGACTTGTGCGACTGGCGAACTTCTACTTTAGAGAGGGTATGGTGGAAGGTAGCGGTGCACGTCGATTCAGTTTTTAAGTCCTGATACGTCTTTAGTATTCTTCAGAGTATGAGATTTTAATGAGATGGCTAGCTTGTACATTGCTTTTAACGTTTGTACCAATACATTTAGATACGTACCGCTGTGCCAATTGTATTTGTCCGAATATCTACAAATTACCAGAACAAAGAATTAAAGTATGATTATTGTCGTTTTTTGTTTGGATTGGATTGTTGCTTGACGCAGCATTCAGCAATATTCCAGCAAATATTCCAGCAAATATTCGTTGAGCTTTCGAAAATATTCTCGATCCATAAAACATACTGCAACATAAGCCTACTTTGTACCTATGCACGTACAAATGCCCCGTGTCGTCTTTATTCAATAGACAACGACGAAACTAAGGGCCCCGAGAATATAGTTGAAAGCTTTAACTACAAACTCGAGTGAGAGCGGGGAGGTAGTAGTCAGTCATGGAATCAGTAGACATGGTCTCCGTCGTCGTAGTAGCACTGGGGTAGCCTACTGGTTAAAGCGTTCGGTCGTCACGCCGAAGAACAAAATCCGATTCCAAATGCGGGTACAATGTGTGAATCCTATTCCGGGTGTACCCCCGCTGTGAAACTGCTAGAATATTGATTAAAGGGGCATAAAATGAAACCTACTCAGTCATGCCTACTTCAGTATTAGTAGTAGTAGTAGTAGAAGAAGAAGTATCAACATGATATAAATAATTAACTGTACACATAACCTGATGTTGATATGAGCATGGAAGAAATAAGTAAACTGACGGACGCAAGAAAGTATACACCCATGTATATTGGTTGCTGAAATTTAAACATACAAGGAATGGCTCTCCGATGGTGATAAATCTCATGAGGGTATCATAATTATGTTTCGGACCCTCAGTTTGCGACTGTTTTCAGTTTGGTTAAATCCAGTTTTCATGTGAATGCTTTTTCTTGTGCCCAGCAGTTTTCATAACAATGAATGATATTGATGAACGGTTTATATCATTCACATAAACGTAATATTGGCATGTATATGTTGCTAGTTTCCGATCGCGTGACATCTAATCACATGTACCCCTACTGAAACAGCAGAAATGGATAAGCTTGAGTACAGAGCAGTCATAAAGTCTTGGGTCCTCCTACAGTTGTAATACTGACGCGACTCAAAATGATGGAGAAAACTCATTGCTGACTGTAAATCCTGTTGCCTCCACATATCATATGTCCTTATGATATGCATATAAACACCTTTCACCCACAATGAATGCCAGTGCGCTTTAAATTTATACAGCATTGATCTCATATGTTTCCTATCATAAATGTAGTTACATATGAATGTACAATGATCTCCACAATAATGTTTTATTAAATGCACATATATTCATGTATGACTTGGTTCGGACTGACATTGTATAACTTGTTTATTTATCTTACATGGTTTTGCATAATAGAGCATGGCAGTTTGATCAAACCTTATTGAAGTAGTCTCTATTACAATTAATGACAGAGGTAAACATTGTTTACTTGTACAATTCGATCAGCCCCTTATTTATGGACTGAATTGTTGGTGGGTATATAATATTTCCTAAGTTGAACATGATTTGACAGGATAATGACAAGGTTTGGACTGACTTGACCACCCGAGTGTGATAAGACAAATGTTGGGCGTTTTTGCCACGGTAGACTGTATTGTATGTTTACCAGTATCTATTATGCAATGTATCCATCTTCAATCTCTCTTTATATCTAATGCAGTGGATAAGTGTTCATGGACTTTATGCTTGAGCACTGTGTAACGCTACACATAAATACCCGTATTGTATGGCACAGTCTGGCGTTTAAATAGCTCACTATAGCTATTTCGTTGGTTGGGTTGCAAGTAATACCCAAAGACCGTTCGTACTATGCTATTCTCTCGACTGACACGCATTATTAAAGACCCAAGGCAAGCAATACACAACAGCCAATGATGCTAGTGGAAAGACTTTTCATCCTCTCATTTCTCTTCTTCATCAGTTCTGTCGGTAAGTATTAATAGCCTGGGTATTCAGCACCTGCAACGTTTTAGTATCACATACATGTTCACAGACCAATGGTATTATGTACTTGAACTGGCCTTATATACTCTGAGATCTTTATGAGCATTAATATAGGTCTCATATTATCATCATCTCCAGCCTTTCTTCATATAACGCAGTAGATAACTGTTTATGGATGCCTGAACCGGTCTTCTTTGCCCACGTGCGAATATTTATCAGCAATAGTATGGGTATGCTTGAAACATAAGCAACTTGTCAGGATCGATCATTAATCAAGTTAAGTTTTACGCCGCACTCAACAATTCATTAATCAAGGCAAGATGTACTTTTCCATCATTGAATTATATCGATATCAATATTGCGATTGTAAACTGAAACCTACTGACTGTACAACGGTAAGAGCTCTTGCACAATGTTCGGTCTTCTTCGACCTTCCAATCCTACCAGTTGCAAGTAGCGGCTTCTAACGTGCCCGACGGCGCATGTAAAACGTTTAAAACAGTGTCAGAACAACGTTCACTTTAGGTTTCCGACTGAAATGTAAAGCAACACATTGACAGAGTTTCAAAGTAAATTTACAACTGTACCCCAAACATGTTCGCGAGCACACCATGAAAAACGTATACACGAATTTGGTGTGTTTGGATGAAATTCATATGACGTTGTGAATGGAATAGTCATTTTCTAAATCATTTACACTTATACAACTTGGTACCCAAATGATATCACCCAAGGATGGAATATCCTCTACTTGTTAATAGAATACAATGAATCAATGCAAATGGACCAGTATGAAGCAATTAAATGGTTGGCTATGTGTGCAATTATATATCTATATTCACTTTTTGGTATTGCAGATCTGGCAAGTTCCTCCTCGTGCTTAACTGATGGATGTCGACATGGAAACGGTGGACTAAGATGTCAGTCATGCTACGTTGGTTGCTATGGAGCAAACTGCACCATCCCATGTAATGACAACTGTCACACAGACGGGTGTAACAGAATCACTGGGGAATGTTTTACATGCAAGTCAGGATATTATGGACGAGACTGTAATGTGTCCTGTCCGAGAAGATGTTCCAGCATCACAACGATATCTCCTATCTGTAACCGTTATACAGGTGTTTGTTCTGAAACCTGTGACGGAGGATTGACTGGTAAACACTGCAAGGATCAAGTCTGTAATACAGAAACCGGTCGATGTATCCTTGGTTGTGAGGAAACTTGGACGGGAGAGTACTGCAACAGAACATGTGATACCTGCCTTAACACAAGATGCAGCTGGACCGGATATTGTCTCCATGGTTGCAAACACGGTCTCTATGGAGACATGTGCGAGAAAACTTGCCCTCGATGTTATACTACTGGCTGTGACAGAGAAACAGGTATATGTGAACAGTGCCGTCCAGGTTATCGAGGAAGACACTGCAACCACAACTGTTCTGAAACTTGCTACAGAGGCAAGGATGGACACAGGCACTGTGATCGTTATACCGGTAACTGTCTGGAGGGTTGTGAAGT